CCTCTCCTCTCCTCTCCACACCTCCCCTCCCCTCCCCTCTCCTCTCCTTTCCTTCCTTCCTTTTTTGTCACATCAAACAGTGAAAGTGCAGGCTGCTCAGAGCTATGTGAAAAATAAATCAATAGAAATTCTGTTTGAGCTACTGGAAGACTATATCTTTCATTCAGCACACTTTCTTCACAAAATTTAGACCCTATTTTTAGTGTCTAATTTCTTATTTCTGTAAGATACAAAAAACACGTTTATCTGATTCTACTACTATCCATTGTCACTGTATTCATAAATTGGGAGGGACTTTCAATCCCTGGATGGCCTAGTTTAGTGCACTTTGCCTACAGAAAGATTATCATGAGCTGTCTGGAGAGGCAAACCACCGAGAATCTGAGTTCTTGTGTAGGTTTTCAAACAATGGGTGTTCTTCCTTCATTCATAAATGTTATTAAGCAATGAATAAAATATGTACTTTGATGATGCCTTAAGTTTTACACTTTTGAAACCATGCTAATTTATTCATAGAACACCACACATAAATCTAAATAAAAACAAATCCTCCAAAAAAATTATAGCTCAAGGGTTATGTACCAGTGTTTTACTAAGAGAGGGTTCATAACATGGCAGCCCATGCTTGATAAGCCCTTCTCTCAGAGTTGAACACCTTGCAAACTCTTTTCATAAAAATGTCCATTGATTTGGAAGAGAAAGATACTGAGGTGATCACAGAGCCAATAAACTGAGAGAAAGGGGGTAGAAATGAAAAAAAGGCATTTAAAACAGGAAATAGCCAATTATAAGCATAAATGTGGTAACATCATAAACGGGAGTCAGCTATCAGGGACTGATTAAATTTTTGCTCTTTCTTATTCTTCACTCCACTTACTGTCTATTGCTTGGCTTTTAAATTCAACTTCTATGAATAGGGCCTCAACACTTTTCATTGGGTTCAAACACCTCTTTAGTATGAGCAAATTTAGAAATTGAACCAAAGCCTGCATTTTCTTTTTATTTGTGCCTATCAAGAATGACAAGAGAGATAGCTGAGACTGAAACAACTGAGAAGAAGAGGAGTACAGCTGCAAGAAATGAAAAGAAAAAGCAACATCCTGGTCAGGGACGGAAAGTCCGTGTGTGCGTGCGTGTGCGCGCGTGTGTGCGTGCGTGCGTGTGTGTGTGCGCGCGCGTGCGTGTGTGTGTGTGTGTGGATGCTAACCGTTGAAAGAGAGCAGGAAATCAGAGTCTGTACCAAGTCTGAAAACATCTTCCTAAAGTGAGAACATATATCAAATAACTTCATTGTTTCTGCGTCAACATGCATTTCAAAATAGTTTCACGCAGTCTCCTGAAACTCTGAAAGCTGAAGAAACATACCAAATCTGTATCTAATATTCTGATTTTAATCGGAATTAAGTTCTTATCGATAACACTTGGACCAAATTGAGGAGAAAGATGCGATGGTGACAAACAACCAACCAAATGCATTCTCTAAGAAAAAGGAAAAACGTCAGTATGATTTTCTACAGATCTTTCCAGCAACTGGCAGAGTGTCTCGCCTGTAGTTTGGTGAATGTGAATGAATCTTTGGATTAGATTGGGAGTATGATACTCGAGAATCGAACATGGGTTACAATTCGCACTGTACTTTTGGTTGGATAAAGTTGGGAATAAGAAAGGTCCTTCACTCATTTGGATCCTGCGTTTCTCAATCCTGTCCTTGCCTTACTCTCTTTCTTATATGACACTGCACCACTCTTAAAATACACTGAAGCCTTCTGGAAGGTTTCCTTCTATGGCTGTTACCATTTTACACAGGTCACATGGATGCTGGCTTAGTCTTCATTTATCCTAGAGTCATTGTGTTTGATGCTCTAGGGTTGGGGAAGGTGCTCGAAAGATGATTTAGTCCAAGAGTTGCACACTGGCAACTTACAGATCACATCAGGTCCATGGATGGGTTGTTTGTCCTTCTAGTGCTAATAGAAGTTTTGAATTAAAAACATTGTAAGACAGAGTAAATGTCCTCTGACTTAATTACTGTCCCTAATACTGTCTGTTATTTACACCATTTCACTTAATTCTGTATCTGGTTCAAATAAGCATAGGTATTTGTGATCCTCATAATCTCCTTAATTTAACAATAAGAAAAATGAAGATCAGAGAAGTGATCTGACTTAATGGAGATACACAGTTTAGTTGTTAGCAGAGCTAGGACCTGAACTTGGAACAATGGAATCCAAGATATAGTCTTTTTCCTGGGCTAGTCTTCACTAAGTAACTGTGTACCCCATGATAAAGTGTGTCTATTTGCAGTGGTTCTTAAACTGGGTGAAATCTGGACTTGTTTCTGAAAGAAAAAATTATCTCAGTTTTCAAGCATGGAATTATGTTATTTTTGTACTTTTAAAATACATATAAGCTATGGAAGAAGACTGTAAGTTATTGTTCTTATAAGAAGATAAATTCAGAAAGACACACAAATTGAATTTTAAAAACTATGAATCTAATAAAATTTAACATTGTACATTTATAGGGAGGATTATGCTTTTCTGCTGCAACTAGTTTCAAAATGGGTATTCTTGTAGAAATAGTTTCAGATCCTGTCCTATATTTAATGTTTCAGAATTTTGACTTTAACAATTCCAATGTAGAAAATGCCTATTTATGTAAATGAATCAGAAGAGAGTATTAATGACTCCAAGGTTCTTTTTGCTAGTTTGGGTTATCCAACTCTCCTATTCATCTAAAAACTCTGCTCAGGAGTAATCCTCAGATGCCATTTTAAATGAAATGTCACCTGATAATTGAGCAAAACTGTCTTGTTAACTTGAGAATAAAGTTAGCATCATAGCATCACTGATATCTGCATTAAATTTGTATTAAATTATTGCTGGAATTTGGTGGGAAAAAAAAGCCTTTGCTACCCCTTGGTTGCTGTTGAATAAATAGGTACAAAGATGGAACTCCTGCAGAAGAATCTATTGCAAAGTGAACCCAGTACTTATCCCTATAGGTCGGTGCCATGGTTTGAATGTTTGTCTTCAAGATTCATATGTTGAAATCTACTGGTCAATGTGATGACATTAGGAGGTGGGGCCTTTGGGAGGTGATTAAGTCATGAGGGTAGAGCCTTCATGAATGAGATTAGTGCCCTCATAAAAGAGGCCCTCACCCCTTTTGCCATGTAAGGACACAGAGAAAACACAGTTGTCTATGAACCAGGGAACCAGACACAAAATCTGCTGGTATCTTGATCTTGGACTTACCAGCGTCTAGAACTGTGAGAAACAAATTTCTGTTGTTTACAGCACCTAGTCTGTGGTGATCCGGTATGGCAGCCCAACAGGCAGATTCACCTGTATTGAGCTCACCTGTACTATTACATCCTAAAGAAAGAAACGGTTCACTACGGTTTTGATGCAGAAGTCCTCGGTGTTCATCTGGATGGTCAGCTTGATGGCTTCAATTTGTTACCAAAATGAAAATGCAAAATTTAAAAAGTACTGAAGCAGATTCACAGGTACACACACAGATATGTATACAGGATGAAGAACTCAGGACAGGGAGTCGGATTCCCTCTGCTTCAGCCCTCCATCTGCCACTAATTAGCTGTATGACCTTTTCCAAGACAACTTACCCTCTTGAATTCCAGTTTTCGCATCTGTGATATGAGGTAATTGAATTAGATGAACGTGCAAATTCCTGAAAACCCCAAATTTCACACTTTGCTACAACTCTGTCCATGTTTACACTTGTTTACATCTTCCTTTCTTTGCAATTCCACAAACCAAACAACTAAGAGAACGAATTCATCTTATAGGCAATGAAATACTGTTCCTCAAATGTATTACCCCCCCAAAGCCTTAATTTGATGTTAGAAGGCAGATAATCTAATCTATTTTAAATTGTCTTCCAAGGAACACTAAGGGGTACCTCAAAAGTCACCATGGAGGGGAGAAGGGTGAAAAAAATAGAGTGTAGACTCTTCTCTCTGGTTCAAAGAACAGCTCCTCTGACATCTGTTTCATATTGATGTTCCAGATGTAGGTTTGAAAACTTGTTGGATACATTTATCATCCCCTTAGATTCTCCTAGAGCCATGACCTCCTGGGTCCTCTGCTGCCTGCTTTGCCACAGCTGTGACTTTGGCTCTGCCTTCCCAAGGGACTGCTTTTCATCCCACCACTATGACCAATTAACTGTGCTTGGGTCCTCATGGGGCTTCCACCTAGGACTGGCTAAATGTTTACTTGTCAAAATAAGCTGGGCTCTCCCCTTGGCTGCCACCGTGCATCAAGGCCCAAGGGCCACAGGCCCCAAGTTTCTGGCTTCAAAAACTGCTTCTACACTTGGATGAAAAGTCACATTGTGGGTTGTGGGGTCTGACTCCCTGATCACCTGTCAAAGAAACCAGATGAAACAATGCAGAAGTTGTCTTCTCATGGGGTGAACTGAGATGGGTGGAATAGGAGATGGGAAGGTAATTCCGCACACCTCCTTCCCTCTCACAGAGTGCTTCAAAGTATGATTCTCCATATTGCCTGCCCACAAGTGGCCAAGTGGGTACACAGCAACCAGCCATGTCTCTGAAACACTGGAAACAGGAGACCTCCCGGTAACATACTGCCTTGCATTGCCTCCCAGTCTTCCCTGCTTTATGTTCTTTCTCTCTCCCCTTCAGTGCTTGGGATTGTACCTCCCAAGGAAGTATCAGCAGTTAATCATTGCCTCACGCTCTGCTCTTAGGGAATCTGGCGAAGGCAAAAACTACTGATATAATTCAATCCCCTCAGTTACAGATGTCTACAACACAAACCTGACCATGCTCCCTGCTCGGTTCCCACCACCCATGGAACCTCCTTGGCAAGACAAGGCCCTTCCTGACCTACCATCAGCTTGTGTGTCACTTGCT